AGCTCACCGACGAGCTCATCACCAACACCAAGAAGGTGTACGACTGCGTGGGAGCACTGGACCTCAGCAGCGTCAACTTCGAGAACACGTTGAAGGCCCTCGCCGACGTGGAGGTCGAGTACACAGGTCAGTGTCAACAGAAATGATTCCACAAGCTATCTCATGTTGGTCAGAGTCTTCAAATCCAAATGCAAATTGTTTTCCTCAATGACAGATTAAAAAATACTTCATTATAGTTTTTGTTCAGAGCGAAATAGTGTCTGAACAAGAATTTGACTTTCACTCAGAGAACCAGTGACGCAGTTAAAGAAGTATCACATGGATACGTAGGTTTGATCAGAGATTCAAAAATATCATCATATTTCTAAGTGACAAAATAATAACATAATGAAAAACTTCTTATCACATGAGAGGAAGAATTAAAAATGCATAAACAAAGTATGAGATCATTCGATTGGATTAACAGTTGATGTGATTCTGTCCTGTGGAGTGAAAAGTGACTCACAGACAATCGGAGTTATAAAAACTAAACGTGGCATTTGGATACGAAAGGATAAACTTTTGATTCAACGCCAGATGATTTCACTTGTTACGAGAGCAAGTAAAAGTACGCAATAGAATAAATATGTAATAAAATAATAAGTGTAGGGGCAGTAGGTGATCTCCAGTGTTAACGTGATTTTATTTATCAAATGTGAGCCTGGATGTTGTACAAGCTCTTAGTGCTACGCTGCGCCCTCTAATGGAATACTCCAGTAACACAGTCTATGACAAATATGTGAACAATTACTCTCAGACACGTCGTCGTCTACGTGAACATGTGATTAAAGAGCAAGAAGATCTCCTGCCATGGACTTGACGTAAAAGTCCTGGCTGATCTCACTTCCTGTGGCTCCGCCCTCTACTCTGAGTGAAGTCGAGTCGACCTGTGTTTGACTTTTCCTTCAGGTCAGTTGTAAAGTTTGTGTCCTGACCGGCGTTAAAACTGAATCAAACTGTGGATCCAGAGTCAAAGCTTCTAACAGCAGCTGAAATAAAGTCACTGACTGGTTTTAATCGATGCACCAGGTATTTTTCTGCAGCTCGTTCAGTTATGGACGACGAGCCTGATGTGGAGAGGTCACACGACTCAGGCAGGTCGTTCATTGTGAGCGCTGCCGTGGAGCCGAGTCAGCAGAATCACCAGTGTGTGGAGGTAAAGACTCATCAGCAGTTTGTGGACAAAGCAGCTGAACCGGCTGCTGCCGCCACAATAAAAGTCTTTGTTCACACAAACACCTGAAAACACACAGTTTCCCTGCAGCTCTGCTGCTGCAACAAGACGCACAACCAACAGGTGAAATTAAGAAACAATAGAAAACCCAACCGAGTAGGCTTTTCCAGAAGCGTCAGCTCAAATGGAACTTCACATGTCAATAAAATTTATGAGGTAGTAAATGGAAGTTGTGGTTGGACTTGATGGTCACGATAACTCCGCCCCCGGCCTATTACGTGCTCTTGCTTGTAGAGCAGCAGCGAGTTGGTGTCACTCTGGAACCAGTTTTTCTGACTGAGAGCTGTGGAAACACAGAGAACTGGCTCCAGATGAGGAACTGGCTCCGAGCTGAGCCTGGAACTAACTCTAGAGCTTTTGTTTGTCGATATGAAAACTTTTATTTTAGAGAATAAACGTTGCAAAAAAGATGTTAATGTTAACATGTTTTACATTTTACAAATAATCCACTACACTGTCGGTGAGAATCAATCATCAGATTAAATAATCTGGTATTAAAATGTTGATGTTCATAAAAATAAATCCGTCGATTCATCCAGAAATAATCATAATGATGTTTCCAGTTGTCGTCACCTGTGTTTGATTCGTAAATGAAGAAACGCATCAGTGACGTTTCTCTTCTAACTGACCCCGCCCCCTCTACATGTGACTCCGCCCCTGCCTCTCAGTCCAGAGGAACATGTTGGATTTCCCGCAGCACGTGTCGTCGTGTAAGGAGGTCCGAGCCGCGAGCACCGAGGCCGACAAACGTCTCTCAGAGTTCGACGTGGAGATGAGCATGAGGGAGGACGTCTACTTGAGGATCGTCGCTCTGGAGGTGAGCTAACGCACAAACGACCTCACAGCACTGACCACCAATCAGCAGGCAGAAGTTATGGAAGCGAAGATGAAAGGATTCATTGAGAAGTCCGTCAGTCGTCAGCTCTCACCACGTAACCTGCACACACAGGAAATGATGTCACCAAAATAAAAGATCCTGTTCGTCACCTCCTCAGATGACAATCATCCTCCTAAATAACCTGAAAGTTAGGATGAGTAGCAGAGACAGAGCTCCAGACACAAACGTGAAGCAGGTCTGTGAGGATCCGAAAGAGACAGAAGCAGCAGAAGTTCATTCACTTCTGTACAGAACCTGAAATTGTGGATGCTCCTAAAACTGTTTGTTTCAGTTCTTCTCCCGCGGTTGTTTCTCACCGTCTGTTTTGGTTTCTGTGTGCAGAAGAAGATCGATGCTGGAAGCCTCACTGCGGAATCGAAGCGTTACATGGAGCGACTGATCAAACTGGGCAAGAGGAACGGTCTCCACCTGCCCACGGAGACACAGGAGGTGAGTTTCAGTTCAAAGTTCAGCAGCAGACGACCTCATATCTGAGAGGAGACGTTGAAGACTGAACATCTGGAAATAAAATGTCAAGACAGATTCATTTAGTATCTCTGAACTACAGCTTCATGTGATCTCTGGGTCTTTGAGTCTGATTGTTCTCTGCTGCTCCTCTGCTGTAGGAGATCAAAACCATCAAGAAGAAGCTGAGCAACCTGTGTATAGATTTCAACAAGAACCTGAACGAGGACACCACCAGTCTGTCCTTCACCAGAGACGAGCTGGGTGAGTGTGCTGCTCTGCGGAGCTTTCAGTCGGTCACTCCTGGTCTTCCTCCATAAAGCTGGACTAAGATCTGTTGGTTTCAGGCGGCCTCCCCGAGGACTTCCTCAGCTCACTGGAGAGCGATGGGGACAAACTGAAAGTGACTCTGAAGTATCCTCATTACTTCCCCACCATGAAGAAATGCTTCATCCCAGAAACCCGCAGGAAGCTGGAGGAGGCGTTCAACTCCCGCTGCAAAGAGGTGAGACAGGATCGACCGGACGTCTCACTCTGGTGTTGAGTCTGGATGGAGACTGAAATAAAACCCAACGCACATAATCAATAAATGGTGAAATACATTATTAATAGTTAATACAAATAGAAGCAGGACCACAGATCTCTTCTTCCTCCCAATGAACAACATGAAGCCAAAACATCTCAGATACAAACGCTGCCATCTTGTGGTGATGACGTCTTTTGCAGTCAGTCTGTTCAGTAGTGATCGTGGGGTGGAGCCGTGGTATCAAGGTCCCGCCCACGCTCTCAACATACCCAGTCTGTGTTGGCTGTCAATCATGACGTCTCAGCCTGTTTTTATATCATCAAATAACAAACTGTCTGTTCCGGGCTCCTGGAGAAACATGGATCCTAAAACTGGACCTAAACAGAACCACAGTTCTGGTTCCTGTCTTCATGTTCTGTGTCTTCTCAGGAGAACTCTGTGATCCTGAAGGAGCTGGTGGAGCTTCGGGCTCAGAAATGTTCTCTGCTCGGCTTCAGCACACACGCCGACTTTGTCCTGGAGATGAACATGGCCAAGTCTGGAAAGAAGGTGGCCGGCTTCCTGGGTGAGTCGTGCAGAACAGACGAACTGCGGAGGTCACATGACGACGTATATCATGTGACGATAGAATCGTTTGATAGATGCAGTTCAGCTTCTAACCTGCAGGAGGCGGTATCAGTCAGCAGCAGTTTAAATCAAGAGAACGATGTCCTTTCTGTTTACGTTGTTTAAAAGAAGAAGTTAACGAGGAAGAGATTCTGTGTTTGTTCAGGGAGGCTCAGGCCCCAGTCTGCCCCCTAGTGGAGGTTCTCATTTAATCACTGCATTACTTGTGACTGACTTCTGTCACTTGTTGTCTTCAGAGGAGCTGGCCTGTAAACTGAAGCCTCTGGGCGATGAAGAGCGGGAGGTCATCCTCAAACTGAAGGAGAAGGAGTGTCAGAAAAGGGGCCTGCCCTTTAACGGAGAGCTGCACGCCTGGGACACACGCTACTTCATGACCCAGGTAAAGACTACATG